TACTGGAAAAAAAAGCAGCCTATAAATGCAACAGACAGACAGACATTTGGAACACAGGAGAGTTCCAAATTGCTAAAATATTTTTAAAGGACAGTAAATTATATATTAAAAACAAATACATGATTATACTGATTGAAATACAGTGAATGATTTAAAATTTTAAAAACAAACTTATACAGCTAAAAAAAAACAACCCAACATTCTGGGACTCAGTTATGGCTATTAAAAGCCTATCTGAAGAGGTGGGTCTTCAACTGTCAGAAGAAGGATAAAAGAGAGGGGCTAAGGTAACATCTCAAGGGGAGCACTCCATAACCCGGTGACAACCACAGAGAAGGCCCTTTCTCGTGCTCCCATCAAATGTGCCTGCAATGGCAATGGGACCAAGGAGAGGGTCTTCACTGATGATTTTAAGGACTAGGAAGATATGGTCCTTCAGACAGCCTGGACCCAAACCACATAGCACTTTATAGATAATAACAATGACTTTGAACTGGCCCCAGAAATGGACTGGTAGTCAGTGCCGTTGTTGTAGCAGGAGTATTATATACTCCTTTTGTTTCTAGGTCTACCTGGAGATACCAGATTAGGGAATAGGGATTCAGTTTATGCTGGATGGAATTGCACCCACAGACTTTGAGAAACCAGATTTGCAGTTCAGAACTCCAAGTCTTATTAGTGGGTAGGAGCACATTTGCACCATCAAAGCTAGCCAAATTGGACATTTCACCTCTTCCATGAAATGTCCAATTTGGCTGCAGCACCCATGCCTTAGTTACATCCTTTATGGGTTACTGCAACACACTGTATGCGGGGCTGCCTTTGACCATGGTTTGGAAACTTCAGCTGGTTATTGACCTGGGCTAGTTACAGCAAACATATAACTCCTCTTCTACATCAGCTTCACTGGCTACCAGTCTATTTCTGAGCCCAGTTCAAAGTGCTCGTTATAACTTACAAAGTCCTATACAGCTTAGGTACAAGCTATTTGATTGACTGTATCTCCCATGCAATCCTCCTTGACTACACTACACAGCCAAATAATGCACAATTTGCTTCAGGTGCAAAACAGATGAATTTGATTACTTTTTTTTAACAGATTACATTACACAAAGGCCAATTTCAATCAGTTTGGCTCTTTTCCCTCCCAATGCAGAGTATTTCTGGTGGAGGTGACTACTTTTTCAAGTCTGAATGATAGGAACAGACTTTTCCGTGTACGATCAGTTGTTTCATTCTCAAAAAGGATGGGGAGGGACATGACTGTAGGTGGTATTCTTATGATGCACTACGATATGATGTCTTGGACAGTGGTCCAAGACATCATATCATAGTGCATCATAAGAATAATCCTTCCCTCTAGTCACTCCAAAGTATTATTTTTATTTTTTAAAAAACAAACCACCAAATGTAGCATTAGATCTTATTATGATTGTGTTGATATACTAGTTTAGCACTAGATCACATCTACACAGACAAAAAAAAGATAAACAGGGATATGAAATGGAAACAACTCTGACAAACCGCAGCAGACAACTATGTTTACACAAGATGTATGTATGTGTTTGTACATTATGGAGAATTTTGGGAAACTGTCCCTTTTTCCTAACACGATGCAACATTTTAAACAGCCTACTGGGTTTACAATAAACCAAAAAAGGAAAGTCATGGATTGGCAGAGGGCAGGATTAAAGGAAGGGGGGCTGCGGCATGGATCAAATCGCATCAGTTTGAGGGGTCAGTGTGGACACTGGCACAAAAATAATCCACAGTCTCTGTGTGATCACTGCAACTGGACTGAACCATAAGGTAGGTAGTGAATCAAGCCCCAATGTAGTCACAGCCTTAAGATTATTGGGGAAGAGCTTGGTCTCATCACCATTACAGATATATTTAATTTAATACCCTGCTGTACTTTTTTTTATCTTGAACTTTCTTACCTCCTGCTGCCATTTTGGTAGTCCAGCCAGCCTCCAGAAAGTTGCTGGACAAAAAAAAATTGGCCCCTAGACCTGCCAATCCCCCATCTCAATGAAAGCTGCCACTCTCCCAGTTTGTACATAAATCCAATACTTCATGCAATCTACTACCAGATTACAGCCCTTGCTTTTGATATATCCTTGGCTGTTTCTTGTTCCACCCTGTTTGCTGCTCTGAACATAACTGGTTTCCACCACTTTTTTTGTGCCTGTACTTGCAAGCATTTCTTTTTGCCTTTTCCCTGATCCCTCCCTCCCTCCTTCCCTTCAACCTTGCACAACAGGACCTAACTTGACTTTTGAGTATGGCTTCAGCTTTCCCTTTCACTAGATGTGTTTGACTCACAATTCAGTTCAGTTTGTCCATAATTCTAACTTTGCTTCCTATCTTGACCTGATCCTTGCACCCATTTCCAAGCCACAACCTGCAGCTGCCAAGTCATGACGCTTTTCTAAACAAATTATGAATGACTCAGGTGGTTACATAAAAATCACAAAATAATCTTTCTGTGAAAGTTACTATTCCTCTTTTCCCTCCGATAGGCTTTTGTTTCCTTAAAACACTTTCATTTCTAGAATGTAATTTTTGTAAGCCACTTTGTTTCAATCTGAGAGAGCTTTTTCTTCAAACCTGCAGTCGTGTAGTTAATTCTGCAACCCCATTTTTCTGCAAAAACAGTGTTGGGGCGGAAAGCAGTGAAGTATGTAGGAAGGAAAAAAAAGAGTGAAGCAATTGACTAAATAAGAGACATAAATAACTATTAAAGTGCATAACCTGTGTGCATTTTCAGCTGAAAAAAAAAGACAAGAAATCGGGCCTTCTCGGTGGTGGCTCCTCGCCTCTGGAATAACCTTCCCCCTCGCTGGCTATTTTCAAAAATCAATTAAAACACTGATGTTTCGGCAGGCCTTCCCCTCAGCTAATTCCTGATTTTCCCTTTTTCTTCTCTCCTAGTGTTTGCCCCATCTTCTTTAATGTTTTTCCCCTTATTTAAAATTGTTTTAATTATATTGTTATATGTCTGTTGTAAGCCGCCTAGAGTGGTCCTGAGGGACTAGATAGGCGTGATATAAAAAAATAAAATAAAATAAAATAAAATAAAATAAAATAAAATAAAATAAAATAAAATAAAATAAAATAAAATAAAATAAAATAAAATAAATAAATAAATAAATAAATAAATAAATAAATAAATAAATTGGGCATATATATTTTAAACCAGCCCTTCTCATCCTCAGAAGCTGAAACAACTTGTCCCTGTGAGGTTTTATTTGTGAAACTAGAGAGGCCTGCAGATTGTCTCTCGTTCTGAAACAGAAGGTCTTTTACTTTACTTTCACACAAAGATTTTTCTAAAGATAGTAGAACTATCTTCTCCCCAGGAAGGCAGCCTGGCCTGCTGCTTCCCTTGTGATCTAGACTGTAGTTTATCATACAGTAATGTCAACTGTTTACTTTCTGAAAAAAAAAATTGGGGTTCAAGCAACATCCAGAAACAGAGCAACTAAGCTTCCTTCTAGCAGGGTTCCCACACCATACAGGTGTTGACAGTGCAAGAGTCATGCTAAAAAAACAAAACAAAACCCAGATGATAGTGTAAGTTCAGTGAGTGGCAGCGGACAATAATCACTGCAAAGTGGGGTGCTGGGGGGGAGGACAAGGGATTGTTGTTTGGTGATGCTTAACACTTCTGAGAAAAAAAATTATCTGTGGCCTGTTTTTTCACATTTTTATTTGAAAAACCATTTGCCACCATGTTTAATGTCTGTGCATTTAACACACTGGAAAGAGTGAAGTTTTCTATAGTATGTCCCTTTGCAAACTTCACGAACTGACGCCACAGGCAACTGAACTGTGAGATACGTTTACTTCTCCCGCGCAGAATTCCTGACTACATCAGAGCAGGACAGGGCAGCTTGCCTCACTGTTCAGCATCTGCTCGATGTTTTTAAAAAAATCAAATTGGTTTAAATCATAGTTTAAATAAAAATGATGTTATTTAAATAATCAGATACCTGATTTTCTAAATTTGAATTTATTTATTTTCTCTTTTTTTTCGTTTTAATTTAAAATTCACTCTGGTTACTGTCATGAGGCTCTTTCGGTATGTTTTTACTTCGGTATCTTCCTCTCACCTTCTGCTGGAAACCAACTACTTTTGCTTTCTGGGCTCACGTGTCTTTACTCAGGAGGAGCCCCAGCGATTCCTCCGGCTCCCCGCGCCACGTACAGAAAGCCCTTTGGAGGGTAAGGGCGCCTCACTTGTGGAACATCTCAGGCACACGTCCTAATGAATTGTAGGCATCAGGCAAGGAATGATCTTTACACTCTTCCCTCGCAGTTTAATTCCTTTTGCGCACGTCTTCCCTTCTACTAATTTGTTAAGCTGCAATTTCCTATTGTCTGTTGCAAATCGCCTTCAAATACTTCACTGAAAGGTGCGATAAAGATACATATGTGTGTGTGCATATATACATACACACACACACACGTATCTTTATCTCACCTTTCAATGAAGTATTTAATACATATATATTTAAAAAAATTAACTGGACTTACTGCTTGGTGCTTGTAGGACCTCTTCATACGAAGGCTGCTTTTACTCGAAAAGTGAAAACACTCTGAAAGAAAGCAAACTCGCTCCTGTTGAGATACCGTCCTCCCACTTCGGCGACTCGGCAAAGAAGGGTCCTGTTTTGGCACTCTCTCAAAACCCATTTCTGATCAGAGGGACCCACCCCAAAAAAGGGTGTTCCTACAGACCACCAGAGAAAGCACATTGTCACAGCTTTGCCAAATACGGTACCGTTTCCTTTGGGGATCCCGGCCGGCTGCCTCCCAAAGCAAAGCATTGGCTCTCGGTCGCCCTCTGGTGCCTGCGGTGCGCCACGGCAGCGGGAGAGCATCGCGTGCGAAGAGGCGAGCCGATCGCTGGGAGGCTCCGCTTGTCACTCACGCTCCTGCCAGCCGTCCCGCCGCCGTCCCTGGGAGCGCCCCCGGTCGCCGTCCGGGGGGGGGGGGGGACGCGCGAAGGACGGAGAGAGCAGCGCTCCCGACCCGTGGTGAGTCTCCGGAAGGTTTCAGGCAGAATGGCTCTTGGGGGGCTCTCAGAAGGACCGATCCGTCGGGGGAGGATTAAGGGGCGATTGCTTGAAGCAGATTTCCCTAGACGGAGCGCGCACGAGGGGGCGCCGCGCCTGGGGGGGGACACCCAACCCCCTCTCCCCAACCCAACCCTGCTCTCCGTGTAAAGTCTCCCATCAGTGACTGGCTCGCTGGGGGCGTCGGGCACGCGTTCTGTGGCCCTCAAAGCCAGCAGATCAAGGTGGTCTCTGTCTCTAGGTGTGTGTGTGTGTGCGCGCGCGGCCCTTTGGGCACAGGTGTCCCCCGGGGGGGGGAACAAAGGCAGGACTCTGCATCTGAAGAAACAGATGTGGGTCAGTGCCCTTCTTTCTTGAGTTCTTTCTCCTCTCATTGCTGAGAGAGTTCTTGCACCTTACAAGCTTAGTGCGGATGGGAAAATTTCGGAAAGATACGCGTGTAACGTGGGAATAACTGCCATCGAATTCATCCCTGGGGCTGCTGAACTGCCCCGGGGATCGGGTGCCGGCAGGTATTTTTCGGCAGAAGCGGTCAAGACTGGAGAAGGAATTCCCTCGCGCGTGGCCCTTTAAGATCCAGGACCCTTCTCGGGGCATCTTTATCTTGCTATTGGTGGCGTTTCATTTGAACGAGGGGTTCATCCGTGGAAAACTTCTAGTTCCCCCTGGAATCCAGGAATAGTTAGTTGTTGAAAGGAACTTCCTTTCAAATCCCATTTTAAATCAGCGACGATTCTGGATCAGACTGTAAGAATATTTATTTTAGAGGATTCTTCAGTATATAAAATTGGTCCACTACTGTCTTCAAAATTCCTTGTAATAAAGAGTTTCAGGTTTGCTTGCAGTGCTTTGAATGTTAGCCTGAAAATATGTAGCATAAGAGCCTAGGATAACATCTTCTTATACATCACATTGCCTTTTTAAGAGGAAGTATTTTACTTTCTCTATTGCATACTGTCTCTACTTCTTTATAGACAGTACTTGACAGTCTGTGCTGATTCTTGCTAGACTTCACTGTTCTGGAAAGCTGAAAGATATAGTACGCATGCTATGCTTCTTGCCGTTTAACTTTTTTAAAAATGGGTACAGCAGAGTACACGTAGGTACATGCCAAGAAAAAAAATCAGCTGATAAAAGACATTGCCACAGGAGGACAGCGTAATAAACATAGCTGCATCCTAATCCTAAGTGCCCTCTTCTTGAAAATGAGAGGAAACTATTTATATGCAACTTGTATCTTTAGCTAAAGGTGTTTAGCATAGTCGGAAAGAAATTCTTCTGGAATTCGATGTATAGTTGCAGCCTCAGAGGATCACAAGGCAAAAGTGAGAACAACAAAACTTAGTTGAGCAGAAGGACAAGTTGGAAGTCCACTAGTTTCTTCGCTTTCTCTGCAACCGAAACTATATTTCGTTCAGAAATTAGTCTTACGCTATTTAAATTGATGTTTCATACAAATGTTTTTGTTTGCAAATGTATTCTGCTTCCAGACAAGGCTCTTACTATGAAGGTACCGTGCCTCAAACATAGTATGTAACTAGGGGAGGAAGGGAGATCAGACCAAGATATCTTCCATTTCTAGTTGTCCTATGTTTGTCTCCCATTTCTTTTGCCTTTTTCTTTTCATGACCCAGAAAAAATACATTTGAGAGAAATATGGAGTAGTTGCACTCGCTATGGGGTATGAGCTGTGTGGAAGCACCCATAATTGAGTTAAGTGGAAATATTCCCACCACGATCTTGGGTCAGACCGTTAGACAGCTTTTAAGTTGTCATCTGAGTGAAATGATACATTTCAGTAGGCTAATTTTGTAGTTATTTGTGAGGATCTCTCTTGAGTGGATATTGTAGGCAAATGGTTTATCACTTAGAAAATTGCCTTAATCTTTAGCAGAGCTGCCTGCACTCAAGCTGGACAAAACAACTCCAAGTGAAATGTGATTAAAACATATTCAGGCATTCATGAAGCTAGTTAAAAGCAGTTCTTCCCCCTACTGTGATTTTCAGGCTTGCTATCATCTGAGAAAAGCCTAGTCACATTAAATTGGCTGGCAAGAAACCCCTGCATGGGACTCCCGTGCTTTGTAAAAAAATTCTGAGATGCAGTAAACAGCTGGCCATTCGCTGTTCGTGCGGGATACAAATCAAGTATTCCTGAAAGTGTGCCCTGGGAAACAGAGGTGACTGTAGGCCCAGGGGTCTCACGGACAAGAAGAGTGGAACTTTTTAAAAAAGTACAATTACTTCAGCTGCTGCTGCTGCTCCATCAGGGTTCTCTGTTACCCTGATCTTATTTGCATTCTTTCCAGGGATAGGGGTGGAGATAGACTTTTACAGCAGCAGTGTATCCCTTTTGTGATCTATTTGATGATAGCTTAATCTTGAAGGAGCAATTAAAACTGATGACCTTTTAAAAAACCAGCTTTTTCTGGATATGAAAACTACTATAATTGATTAAGGGTTTCTTCATTGTGCTGGTAAAAGACACTAGGAAAATCTTGAACGGCTGGTCTTTCACTTTTGGGGGACATGTCGAGTCTCACTTTTTCCAGTTTTGACATAATCTCAGATCTCTTTTGTCAACAAGTCGAACAGACTAGCAATGTATTGCCCTTTACCAGCTGAGTATTCGATGACTGTTGGCTGGTCGTGAGAGAGAGGCTGTTACGCCATGCCCTGCTGCTCTTTGGCTACGTACGAGTGTAAATGCCGTCCAGGTCTTGCTATCTCTTTACTCATAAGGAATCCATAGATATGGATCAACACAATTGTGCCTACGTTCTTGAACTCCCCTTGGGTTTGTCTGTAGGGACTGACATGATAACTAGCTGTACTTCAAGATGTACTGTTGTTACTCCAGGGTATAGCATGCCCTGAATGGAGCTGAACATCAGACAGAAAGATCACTGTGGGTGTGGAAACTGCCTTTATGAAAGTTTGTGCTGCAGCTGTGACAGCAACTCCCTAGTAAGTACAGACGGCTATACATGTTCTTTTTAATAGAAGGTCCGGGTCATTAAAGTTAAAGGGTACTTTGCTGGTGGTTTTATTCAAGAAATCAAAGGCCAAATTAGACTGATACATTTGTTTGCTGCAAATAACTTTTTTTAAAAACAAAGCTGAAGCGTCCATAAGAGTTGATGTACGTACAAGGAAGCTGACATTGCTTGATTCATTTTTTTTCTGGGCAGGAAGCTTTTTCCATTTTTTTCAGCCTGATAGTTCTTAGAAGTGATGCAATTGTATGCGCTATGTTTATCTCCTTTTTTCAAGCGTGTGAAGATTACATAAAGAGGAAATATTTATTTGCACTTGGAAATGAAAATTAGCACTCATTTCCATGTTGCAGTTTAGTTCCTTCTGTTCCATATTTATGTCTGTTACCTATTTTGTGATGCCAATATTTATGCACTGTTATTTGTTTGTTTATTTATTTAAAATATTTTTTACTCTTCCTTTCTCCTTAAAAAGGACCAAAGGCAGCTTACATGAGTATCCAAATACAAAAGGATCAAATAGCATCCAGAAAAACATTAGCAACACCAAAACCCATTCAAAGCAGTATTAATCTGCTTTCTATTATGTGTTTCCATGTAGTACAAAAGAAATCCAAAAAACAGGCGTGGCTGTCCTAATATGGCAAAATTTATGTCTTAATTCCTGAGTACAGATCTCGGCATAAGGAACATATGGGAACTACTGCTGCGTTATCTGCTTGATGAACTGTGTGCAGTGCTTACATTCATCAAATCTAAAAATAATGGTGTTTTTGTTGAGCGACCAAGAGCAGTGCCTGCCATTCCACCTGCATTTTCTGAATGGAATATGTTTTTTTTTAAATTGTTTTTTCCATTTTCCAGTCTATGTTAATAATAATTGCAAACAGAATATTCCTTTTATTCATGCAAGCCTTTTACTTTTGTGTTGTTTGCCCTGTCTTAATATGGCTTCAGAATTATATTTCTGTTATTTTGTTGTAATTTATACAAACGGGTACAGTACCTTTAAATGAAGTATATACCTTTCATGTACATTTTCTTAAAAACAGCAACTCCAGAGTGAACGCATTATTGGTGCCATGTAAATATGTTCTATTCTCATTGCTATCCCTTATTCTCTTACAATGTTGAATCCACCCAGTTAAATATAGTTTGAAATAATTTAAATGTACTCAAGTTCTAAAGAAAGGACCAGAAGGGTATAAGAGTATAAGGGTTTTCTAGGTATAAGATGGGGACGTGGTGGCGCTGTGGGCTAAACCGCAGAAGCCTGTGCTGCAGGGTCAGAAGACCAAGGAATCGTAAGATCGAATCCACAGGACGGAGTGAGCTCCCGTTGCTTGTCCCAGCTCCCGCCAACCTAGCGGTTCGAAAGCATGCAAATGCAAGTAGATAAATAGGGACCACCTCGGTGGGAAAGTAGCAGTGTTCCGTGTCTAAGTCGCACTGGCCATGTGACCACGGAAGATTGTCTTCGGACAAACACTGCCTCTATGGCTTGGAAACGGGGATGAGCACCACCCCCTAGAGTTGAACACGACTGGACAAAAATTGTCAAGGGGAACCTTTACCTTAGGTATAAGATATTAAGAAGTGGTTTACTATTCTTTTCCTTTGGGGGTGCTCTGGGCCTGTGCAGCCTCCCCATAGCCACACAGGTTGACTCTTCTCCTACAAGGCATAGTAGGGAATCAAACTCCTGACCCTCTGAATCATTGAGCTGTACAGCCAGCTATATAATGCTTTGCCATAATTTTCATTCGTAGGCTGTCATCTATAACTTATTTATCCAGAGGAGTTGTTTGAAAATCAGTGAGATAGTTAATTCCATTAAAATAATTTGATTGTGGATCTATGTCCCTTGGGATTCTGAACCTTTGAAATTCACCACTGAAGTTTCCAGTGGATTCAAGACTAGTTAAAACGAGCTAAAATTACTATATGGGAACAATCACATGAGCA